GTTACACAAGTACCAGCTTCCCTGATGGCATTTACTGTGCAGTTTTTCCAGAATTTTCTCTTTATCATTCTATGTTTTTTATATTCTAAATTAAGATTCACGCTTACAAATCTTTGAATGCTGTGATCACGGTGATACTTAATTTTTGTATTCTACAAGTAAAAAAAGTTTGTTCTGAAATTACTTCTGAGTCTTCCTTAGTTATTATTTACTCTTTCCTTCTCCATTTGTCAAATGTAGATTTTTTTCATGTACCTGTGTCATATCTAGTTACCTACTGAATGATCCTCAAGAATTTCTCATGAATGAATGCTAGACAGCAATTGAAATGGATGTCAAGAAATCATGTAGCTGTTGATCTTCATTATGATTCAATAAACATTTATTGATACCTTCTTTGTATGAATCACAGAATCATAAATGATAGCATTTGACATTCATCAGAAAGTACCACGTATATAGCCTGGTTCACTTGCCTGTTTGTTTTAAAAGTTCTACAATGGCTGGATATTGTAATTACAAACCTTTTTAGGAAGTACCAGCCTGTGTTTGGAGTAAAATATTTTTGGCATCATTGTTCAAAAAGTAACAGAAACATTAGAATAGTAGATTTAGTCAAACCTTTTATCATTACATGACTTTAGTATTGAAACTTTTAGATTTCCATTATTTTATCTGACCTTTAAATTGCTGTGATTTCTATTTGTCATGCCAGAATCTTAAAAATTATTTTCAATGCTGATTAAAAAGAGATTTTAAAAAGCGAGAATGAGGACAGGGGGATACATACATGTACTTTATAGTTTTCACAACCATTTCTGAAATTTAAATTTCAAGTTTAATTGGATAGGGGCTGGAGGTTTAGCTCAGTGGCATGAGTGCCTGCCTTGGAAGCAGGGAGTCATGAGTTCGATCCCCGGTACCGATAAAAAGGAAAAAGACCAAAAAAAAAAAAAAAAAGTTTAATTGGATAGTGTGTTTGTAGATAGTTGAGGTCAAACTTTAAATATACCTGATTTGGATGCTGTCTTGTTAGTTTTTCTTATTGCTGAGACAAAATACCTGACACCCAGTGTTAATGGAGGAAAGATTTATTTGGCTTACAATTTTAGAGGTTTCAGTTCACAGTTGGCTGACTCTAAGGCAGGGTGACATGACAGAGTGGCATTGCAGAGAAGAAATAGTTTATGGCAGCCAATAGTCAGCAAGACAGTAAGCTACAAGTGTCAAGTGTCAATAGCAGCTTCTTTCTGGCCCTTTACATTGTCTCAGGTACCCATCCTTAGTGTGGGTAGCACTCATACCCAGAACTATGCCAAACCAATCAGTGGACTAATTCAGTAATCACATACTCTTAATCCCAGTATCACATACTCTAGATCCAGCCACCTCTGAAAAGCCCCACCTATGACTCCATGAGGCTTTGGGGTACATCCAGATAGAAGCCATAGAGAGACTCCCCAAATGTCTGGCTTCTCTTTTTCATATTAGACAAAGGTCTATGGGTTTTGCATAGTTTGGAATAAAAACAGATACATTTCCATAAGGAAAAGTTTTGTGGGTTTGTAATTTACAACCTGTTTTACTCACAACACTTCTGAAACCACATGTATGGGTTTTTGCACACCAATCAACTTTCCAACTCTCTGATTCCAAGAGACTCTTGAAGTTTAGTTCATTTCTGACACTAATTTAATCTGAACCCTCAAGGCTACCCCCATTTTAGACAGATGTCAATCCCAAGTCCCATGCCTTAAGAATTCCTTTGAGATAGCTACCAATCAGGGTTCCCAAGATCCATTCCTTGGGTTTGATAGTTTTCTAGAACTGCTCACCAAATTTAAAGAAAACAACTTACTTAGAACTATTAGATCATTGTAAGGGATACTGTAGGGTAGAAACAAAACTCCATGTTGAAGAGTTACATAGAAGCATGGAGTGTCCCAAGGTATACAGCCTGTGTTCTCCAGGAGTTAGACTGCACCAGCCTCCTGAAGCGAGGATGTATATTCACCAAGCAAGAAGCTCTCTGAACTGCATTCCTTCAAGGGCTTTTAGGAGGCTTCATTATAAGAGTGTGATTTTAGGTTATATCACTATCTGTTGGTGACTACTTCAATCTCAGCCTCCTCTCCTTTCCTCAGTGTTTGTGAGGATAAATGTTCTAATTCTCCATTCATAGCATTTCTGGCCTTTGTAGTGAGAACCCTTCATCTTGAAAGTATTCATGGATCCACCAAGAGTGGCCTCCTTACAACCAATGGGACACTTGCTCCCCAGAAAAAAACCCCTAAGGGATTTAGAAGCTGTGCACCAGAAAGCAAAACGTCCCACACAATTGAAACGTGGTAGAAATGACTGAAGATGAAGGAGAGCCAAGCCATGAATGATCAAGGGAACCAGTTTCTAAATGAGCAGGGGAGGTTAATCTAAGGAGCAACTTGCTGTATTCTTTATTTCCCCCACACAACTGTGCACACAATAAGGCTTTAAGTAAAGGAAAACTCAATGCAGGGATCTCTGGGACACAGAGATTTTAACACAGCATCAGGAACTAGAGTCAAGAGACCTTTGGTAGGACTTGGAGCATAGGATGCAGGATAGACGTGGACTTGACTAAAGACCTTACTTCACTGGTCAAGGTCCAGTTGAGAAACTGGGATGTAGAGGGCTTGGTGTTGTGGGTCCATCTTGATTGGAAAACTGGCTTTACTCAGAGAACAGAGGTCAGTGAGAAAGTAGATTAGAAGCAGAGTGAATGTGTGAGTTGGAATTGAGGGGGAGTGAGTTGGAATGAGGATCAGAACCCCAGATTGCTGTCATTCCTTCCGTACCATGGGAACAAAGAAGAGAGGTGGAAATTTCCAGGGAACCCTGTTGATGGAGGCAGCCAAGGAGAAGCAACTTTTGCTGTGATTATTGAGCCAGAGTCCAAGAAGAGTTGGCCTTGTAGCTGTGGCTGGTAAGAGAAATTGCTCCAGCCGGGAGAGATATTGCGCCACAGAGAGGGACACAGAAGGACTTCTGAGGAGCTACTGCATTCGTCTGGGCCATTTATTACAGCTATAATTGTGTCATAGTATCCTGGGGCATTTCTGAATTATCAGACAGCAAAATGATAACTGCTTAAACTCACTAAATATATTCAGGCAAAATTTTAGTACAATTTCAGAATAAAATTTACCTGAAAAAGCTTCAGATGTGTCTCAGTACCCACTAATAGGGACTAGGAACATTTACATCCAACAGGAACTTTTAATCTTTTAATTCAGACATCAGTTAGTCATTGTTGGCTTAGTTCTTATGCTTCCACATCTGAGGTTTACAGCCCTGGCCTGGCATTATGGGTCACGTGTGTTAATACAAATTAACTCTGCAAACTGTTGCTTTGAATTCCTTTTCTGACTCACTTTCCTCCACTACCTTTAAATGTAAACACTTTATTTGCAGCATAAATGATGAAAGTCATCACCTGCATCTAAGAGCGTTACCTCGTGTCTTTCCTTTCTCATGCAATTTTTATGAAGTGTTGATTGTAAGTTCTTAAAGAATTTATAAATGTTGCAACATAATCAACAAAAGTCATTACCCACACCTAAGAATATTACCTTGTACTTTTCCTTACGCATGTAACTTTTATAAAGTGTTGACTGTAGGTTCTTAGGGAATTTATGAATGTTAGAATGAGCCAGCTCCTTTGATTCATTTTTCTCATATCAGACTGCATTGCTTCTTGCTTTGATTAGTCTCCCCCCACACACACACACAAGGGTCACACACTCTGTGGCATTAATTGCTTCACCCACACCCAGTATTTATTGTGTGTCTTTGTGTACAGACACCTTTGCAGACTGCCGTGGCCACGTGAAAAGTGAAGGAGTCCTTGTAGTTCTGTGTTTATGTTCTTTATTTTCTTTGGCAAACTGCTGAGCCACGGAGAGCTTCATAAGCAGTTCCTCATGTCTGGATCACCTGTTGGACATGAATGGTATGGACCACCTTTTGTGGTTGCAGGTGAGGGATGCAGGCATGGCCCAACTGGCTCCATATCCCTTATCCTTCTCAGAGTTAGACATAGAGTGGTATCATCAAAGTAATTAAAAACTCACTTTAGATTTACAGTCAAAAAGAAACCAATTGGTCTCCAGATATTTTTGTACTTCATATCCAGTTGATATATTTGGAAATAGCAAGATTTATTTGCAGCTGTTATTTCCTCAGGGACAGACTGCAAATACATATATTTATCCACTCAACTTATACAGAGTGTGAGTGATGAGGTGACCTTTGTTTTGAAAGATAAATTCTGGTATCTACAGACCAGCCAGACTCATCTATTGCTGTATAGATGAAGCATGTATGGAAACTTGTTTTCTCCAGTAGACAGGGAAGCCCCAGTGCTCACACATCAGGTTGCTGTGAGCAGATTACAGAACTGCCAGACACCTATGACAAAGACGATGCTGCTCATCTCCAGTGAGTAGGTGTCAGGATCTGATTTGCTACAGGATGGCTTTGGATTCTCGTGTGCACACAATCCAAGGTCAGAGGCTACCACCATTAATGGTGAACTGGAGTTGGGGGTCAACTGTCACCCAGCAGGTACTCATTGTCTCTCTGTGATGTAACTCCAGTAGCAAGAGGCCACGTTTCCGGAAGATGCCCCTGCTATGTTTAAGATGATTGACTGTCCTGTTCCTCTGCTGTGCTTCCATGGAGAGCACCCAGGAAGATCAAAGCAATGTGGCATTGGGTTTTCTGCTAAGTGTAAATTTAAGCATGACCACAAAGGCTTCTTGCCTGTCCTTTGGAAAAGCAATTTAGCTTGCAGAAAATAATTAAATCCTCAGTCTCTTGCAATAATTAAAAATTTGAAACAGGGAGAGTTATTTCCATCAAATTTGAATTACCTAAGAAAACAGTCAAGGATGGCATCCAGACAGTCTCTAGCTAATTCACAATTCCATTGCTTTCAGTATTTTTCATTTTTTGCCCTACAGGATCATGCAGATTTGCGAAGCCATTTCTTCACAGTCGGGATGAAGCTAGAAACACTGAATATGAGTGAGCCCTTTCATATCTGTCCTGCATCAGTGACCAAGGTGGGTTTTGTTTCTTTGCTCCCGAGGGGATCAGCTGATGAAAGATACTCGTGCAAGAATATATAGTGACAGCAAATAAACCAAAGGGACATTGATGCCTGTGTAGGCTGCTGCCACCTCAGGCTATTTGCCACTGGTAACAGTGTGTCTGATCAGATGCCTCTTCTTAGAATGGATAGGATGAATTTTCCTTCTCTGACAGATTTGGCAAGTTGCATGTTATAATCATTGTAAGAATTATAACTTGATCCTTCTGCATAGATAGTAGTGAAATGATTGATCTACAAACATTCATTATTTAATGACTGTTACAAGTCCTGTGACTAGGTTGTTCCATGAATTGTTCACTAAATGAGGAATTGTATATAGTATGTACATTACAATATTCAGAAAAAAATGGTCAAAGAAAACTCCAACTCGATGACTTCATTTTTATTTACATAATTCTTATTCACAGTACTATAACATACTAAACTATGGTACTATACTGTACAATCAGCAAAGATTACAGTATTGTATAAACAATGTATACTATACAGAAAAAGACACTGACACTCTATAAATAAGATGTGCAGAGCTGTACAAAAGGAAAGACAGTCCTAAGTCTAAGTGGCTCATTAAATTCAGTCATTAACCAAGTAAGTGGTCAAATGATAATCTTGAAGTTAAAATGCATGCACTTCCTTTCATTCGCTATTCATTAAAAACTTTCCAATTAAAAATGGTCTTTGGTTGTTTTTATCATGTGTTCTGGTAGATTTCACAAGTTTTTGTAGAACCAACAGTTGTACCTTGCTGAAACTTGGCCACGATTTCCTTTTGTTCCAGCAGTGGGTGACTGCAATGCCAGCTGCCCACTTTTCTGAATCTGTATCACATTATCCTCATTCTAAAAAGCTGCAAGCTGAGTTTCACCTGGACCTTAGAAAATAAACCAGAGAGGAGAATTACTCCACCTGTTAGTGGTGGTGGCCTCATTCACATTTTAATACCTTTAGATAATTGCCATCTGTAATGTTAGAAAGTGACACAGTAATTGTAATTAGTTCATTCCAAACATTGTGTCTTGTTGGATAGACTTTCAATGATAGCCATTTGGGTTTTCACAATAAATAATTATCTCATTGCTCTTCTGAGGGAAGAGGTTAGAGATATTTTCAATGTTTTTTAAAACTATGCTTAGAAAATTGTTTCTGTTTCTTTATATTAAAGATAAAATACTTAATCCATTCTGTTTCATCTGTATTTCTCCTTCTGCTTTTACTGCCTTAGCGCTGAAAAATACATGAACTGTAATATGTGTTTCTGTTTCTTAGGACTGGATGTAAGCTTCTCCTCAAACTCAATAATCATCTTTATGTCATGAAATATCAGAACATTCATAGTGCAATAGATATCTACAATTAACTATATTTCTCTGAACACATGAGAATGTTTCAGAAGATTTTTGTTTCAGAATATAACACATTGTGTTATCATTTTTATCATGATATAAATTTCATTTTCCCCCTTTGAGTGTTTCATGATGGCAAAATAGTTGAAGTGGGTAAATAATATTAAAGCAAACAAACAACAATGCAGACAAATAGGCAAGCATGTATAGCAGATTCAGTATTCAATTACTAACCTTTTAGCAGAATAGCCAAGTGAGATATTGACAGTTGGTGGCAATGATGGCAGTATCATTTGTGTGTGGAATATATTGTTTTAGAGGAAAGACTATTGGAATTATATGTCTCTGGGAGGCTGAGGCAGGATGGTAAGATTGAACCCTGCTCAGGCAGCTCAGCAACTGAGTGCAACATTGTGTCAAAATAAAAAACAAAAGAAGGTCAGAAATATAATTCCGCGTGAAAGTCATGGGTTCAATTTTTAGTACTGCTGAGGTAGAGGGAGATCTGAAGATCTAGAGGTTTGGGTTCTAAAGTTCCGTTTCTATCTTTCAAATATGGGGTATGCAATTAGGAGCAAATTAGTTAAATGATCTAAACCTTGAATCTGAGCCTGTGGGATCTGAACCAAGAGAAACATAAAGCAGTGGTGTGACCATTTGGGAATATAAGCACTAATAAATCTGATGAAACTTACTAAGATTTTCCTTCGAAGTGTGTCCAAATGAATGTACATTTTTAACCAATTTTGGAAATTTCTTAGTGTCTATATTTGCAAAGTTCTATAATACTTAAAGGCCTTACAACCAGAATTTATTACTTTAAACAATTTATATGTATGTGAATAGTTGCGTATGCACATGCATGGTGGAATAGAGCACATTAATTTCAGTTAGTTACTGAACACTTATAGGCCCTGTTCTGGACAACGGGACCTGGGCAGAGTCTGTGCTTTTATAGGGCTTATAATTGTAGTGGGAAGAAGCAGACAGTAAGTACATCGCATGGTAAATGGTAAGGTGAAAAATACGCTAGGAAGGGGTTAGTGGAGCACTGGCATGGAAGCACGGTGTGATTTTATGAAAGTTGGCCTGGAAGGCCTCCTGGGAAGACTGTTCATGTCTGATGCTTTGCTCCTTAAAGCTGACTTTCAAAGGCAAAGTTCAGGCAGGACATTCAGAACTATTTACTGAAAATAAACATTACTCATCTTCGTGCAATGAAGTGAGTTTCTGCTCCTGCTTAACTTTGAAGTAGGTTGCTCCAAAAAATACTTTATAAATGAAGGACCCAGGTATCATAGTTTAGTAAAAATGTTAAGGTTTTCTAAAAAAAAAAAAAAAAAAAAAAAAAAAAAAAAAAGACTGGTTTATCTCCCCCTCCTGCCCCAACTATTTTACATACTAGTCTTTTTTTTTAACAGTGAGAGTAACATTGGATTTCAAAAAGAAGACAACAGGAAATCCCCCATAGTTGCTATATTGCTTATTGTTCTCTAAATAGATGCTCAGACTACCAGCTTTAAGCCTGCAAAATTTTTGTTGTTGTTTTGTTTGATTTGTTTTGTTGAGTGTTGAGAGCCATTAGATTTTTGTTCCCTACTTGCCTCGTTCCTTTTTCATCACTGATGTTTTTGTTATATTCATTGGATATTTATCCAGCTTGTATGCAAAGCATTTCTTGTAAATTTGAGAATATACAAATGAATAAAAAGAGGACCACTGTTCTCAAAGAACTTAGGATCTTTTGCTAGGGACTGGTGTGTTACCAGTCCACAGAAGGAATGAGGATTTTCAGCGTGGAAATTTACATTTAATGCTTTGGGAGCACAGAGCAGGGACCTGTTATTTCAACCAGATCAGGGACACTGAAATTGGAGGTACACCTGCAAGAGTGCAGTGAGTTTTGATGGACTAGTCATGCAGCTGGGGTGCTGTAGTATGTGAGAACACTGAATGGAATTGGGGTTTGTGTTAGTGATTCTTGTTAGGTCGCATGCAGGATATTCTGGGTGATGTGATACAAGATGAGGCTAAAAGTCTGCCATGCCAGATCTTGGCAGGTTTTTTGGGTGATTCTGTTTGAGAATTTGGGTGTCAGTTGGGGATAGTGAGAGTGGCACTTCAGTGACCATCTTAACTCTTATCTAAGCTGGAGTTCACCTGTCTTGCTTATCAGTTTGTTTTTCTGGCAGCTATGGCCATTGTCTGCTTCTCTGAGTGTCTGATTTTTTAAAAAAATTCTTCTATGTATTTTATTCATTGATCTTGCCATTAATTAATCCAGTGATAAATTCTACCTTTTTAACTACTAGAATAATTGAGTAAAATGTATTCAAATGCTAGATTATGTTCAGATCAATTTGATGAAATATATTAATTGCTTTTGAAAACTGTGCCAGCATTATATATGTAATGTCAAATAATTCTATATGTAATGTCAAGTAATTATTTCCTTTTTCAGGTTTTCAACAACCATTTTTTTCAAGTGACTATTGATGACCTAAGGCCAGAACCTAGTAAACTCTCAATGCTGTGCCATGCGGATTCTTTGGGGATTTTGCCAGCACAGTGGTGCCTTAAAAATGGAGTCAATCTCACTCCTCCCAAAGGTTGGTATTCTGTGAAAATCTGCAGGGTTCAAGTGGGTCAGGATGGTGTCTCTTCTTATTGAAGTGATGCCTTTGTTAATGTGGAGAAGTTTGGGCTGTGAAGAATTTAGATGTAGTGCGAGTAGTATGTTCTTAGCATGACATAATCTAACATCTGTTGTTGTTGTACCCCTCTTTGAGATGTGTGCAGCTGGGCTTTTCTGCCCACTTCAGTCGATGCATTATTGGTCGTTGTGCTGCTGTCTCAGTGATAAAGCATGCAGTGTTGCTAAGTGATTGAGGTTAAAAACTTGAGAATGTCAGAGACACAGCTTTAAAAATGCAACAAAATGCTAATGCAGCATTTCTTTAGATTTTTCTTTCCAACAGGTCGCATTTTCCCCAAGGCCCAGTTATTCTCAGGTATCCAACAATGTGATGCTATAGTACATTAAAATAATTCATTTGGGAGCCAGTGTACATGAAAGTCATTTTAGATTGGGATCTAAGAACCGCATGTTTAGTAAGTAACACCCTTGTAATTTAGCATTGGGGTTTGTTGTCCCCTAAGGCTTATGTAAGGAGGTGCACAGTAAAATGAACAAGAGAGAAAATTGAGAAGAGATTAGAAGTATAAACGTACAGAGGGAGAGGATCTTTGTAGTAGACAACCTCATATAAAAAAGAGTGTTTTACACTAAGCTTTTCAGTTCTCTAGGGATTAGAAAACTTCTGGCATCAACCATATCAAGAAAGTAAGTTCCTCTTTCTTTAGTAGCTGTCACATATTATACATATCAGTTAATTATGTTGTGACTGGCTTATTCATAGCATAACTGCTCACTGGGCTTTTATCATGTTTTTCCTCCATATTCTTCCCCTTGAAAGTGATGCTTTTGAATATTTCCACTTCAGTTTTGAGTCTGCAGGCTAACATTGCACAGTCACTGTTTGTGGCCCCCTGAGAATTTGGTGAACTTTCATGTAACCCTACAACTTTATCTGTTACTGATCAGGTGCCTACTTCATTTAGCCCTCAGAATTGCGCTGTGGTCAAACTGAGCTACAGAGAGTTTATGGTATGTGCCTAGAGTCACATGGGTCATGGTAGGCAGCAGGCCTGGCTCCTGAGTCTATGCTGGATGATGATGAGATGATCTACAGTCCATAAGCCCTACATATGTGTTTCCATGTTGGTTTTCACTAGCTATGTTACTTGAGGCAGATCAATTTGCTTTAGGTTTCAAGACTACTTGAAATGGGAACACACATGAGAACCCACAGGTGCCCCACAGAATCACAGAATCTCATTATAAAAGTCTAAGTAATTGTGTGATCCCTTAATATGACTATAACATTTTCTATTAAGGAGTCCTGTCCTTGCCAGGTAGCCTGGCAAATTTGAAAGCTCCATCACCTAAGTATTTGTGATATTTGGTGCAGTGAAATTGTCTTCACGCAGCCTTCCAAGTTGTTTCTTCCTCTGTTGGCACCAAAATGTGTCTTTTGCAGGTTCTCAAAGATAGAGAATGTTTCTTAATGTAAGTTATTTATAGGATGTTGTGTAAAGGTGACAAGTGCCTGCCGTTAGGAGTATCTCAATGTTAACTTTTTAAACTCTGTAAGTGTTCAAGACATAATTAAATATCATTAATTTAAGATCTAGTGGTAATCTGCAGGTGGTTGTGGCACTGTTTTCTGGAAATTACTTGTAAACTAGTTGGGGTAAAGAGCAGTGACTTAGAGAATGGATAAGGGTAATAAACCAATTAGCACCTGGTAAAAAGCACAGTGCCTCTTAGTCAAATTCATCATAATAGGCGAAATGCAAGTGGAACGCCTATTGAGGTGCTACACAATTAGCAGATGAAGTAGAAGCCCAAGAAAAAAAAGAATAAAAGTACTCATTTTAGGTCAGTCTAGGGAAACAGAGGTTCTCAGAGTTTTCTGTGAAAGTACGAGTAATACAACACCACGAAAGACAGGGGGACACAGTTATTAAAATCAGAGATGTGCTTTCCCATTGACTCAGGATCTCCACTTCTGGAAAGTTTTCCTAAAAATATATTGCATGAGTACTGTGCATAAAAGTTTGTATGGTTTTTGAATATTAATTATAATAGCAAAACGACTAGAAAAATTCGAGTCCTACAAGGTCCATAGTCCCATAAAGTCCTATACTCAGGAAGCTGGGGCAGGAGGGTCCTTAGAGATCAGGAGTTTGAGACCAGGCTGTGCAATGTACTGACACCCCATCTCAAAAAAGAAAAAAAAAATCAAGTGTTTATGTGTACGTCATTGGATAAGTAGACTTTGGTTATTCATCTAATGAAAGCTGTTCAGTTTTGGGGAAGAATGAGAAAAATCTGCATATCAATATGGAAAGCTGTCCACAGTGAGTTGTAGAGCCCAGTAGGTATAACATTATACTTTGTTAGACAACCGGTAAATGAGAGTCTATATTTGTGTTTCTCGTATGTAAAGAAATCTCTGGAAGGTCACATAAGAACTTATTAGAATGGTCAGGTCCTTGTAAGCTGATGGGATACAGTGCTGGGGAGCAGGGCACAGAGGTGAAGCTAAGACCAGGACTTTGTATACATGGCTTCTATATGTATGGATTCAATTAATGACAGATTGAAAGTATTTGGGGAAGAAAATTGTGTCTATATGAGGATGTAAAATCTTTTTTCTTATCATTATTCTCTAAATAATATAACAACTAATTACACAACATTTATATTATACTAGATAATGTAATGTAGTGACCATTTAAAGTATACAGAAGGATATATATAGATTATATTGGAGCACTATGCCATTTTATACAAGAAATTTAAACACCTGTAGATTTTGGGATCTATAAGAGTCCTGAATTCAGTCTCCTCATGGATAATGAAGAATAATCCTAGTAGTTTTGTCTTTAAAATGTTCAGATTTCCAGGCCTAAATAAATGTGTTACATATTAAAACATAATAATGTTAGAAGTAGGCAGTTTCTTTTAATGACTGAAAAGGATCTTAAACTTTATCTAATCGTGTTTAATCTCATTCTTTTTTTTCCTGAGGGAACTGAAGCTTCATTGTATTACATGAATTTTGAAATCCTGAGGCAGAGGTTGACTTAAAACCTGATTCATATTTTACTGCAGCTCAGGCTAGCTGGTGTGTCCATAAAATCCATCCTTTTCAGTAATTTTGTGGCATTTTAGTGGCCTTAAGCAAGACTAACAGATGTTAATGGGCTATGACTTTTACATGACTGAAATAGTCTGTATGTCAAAGCAGTTGGTGAATTACTATTGAAGGAAATCGTTTTCCAAGTGTATATGGTTATAACACAATTATGGCTTTATTTAGCCCCCTCTCCATCTCCAGAGAGTGGGATATATTTATTTTTGTAATTAAACTGAATAGAAATTTAGAGGTGATACTAGTGGTGGTTTTTGTAGTGTGGTTTAGTGGTTTCCTTTAGAGGCAGTTTATTACATGCTATATCTCAGCACAAGGGCTGGAACTTTTTTCAAACATCGTGCTTTGTTTTATTAATGTATGAAAGGAGAAGCTTAAAAGGCTTTGTTTTAAACTTGAATTCTGAGGTTTATATCTAGAACATGTAGGATTTATTGTACATGCTGCCAAGTGATTTCAGATGTTTCCTACACAGGAAATGTGTTGAGTTGTTCATATTTCTGTGAGAACCATGAATACTGCTTGCAATTATATATTCCCTGATCCCCAAAAGATATTAGGTGGGAAGCAGCTGATGAGGCAAAGAAAAAAATCAGATGATATGGGAGGGAGATGTACGAAGAATATAGATCTTTGATTACTACTTAAAAGGATAAGATTACTATTACTAAAAGGACAAGACTACTACTATTTAAAAGGACTAAATGTTTAAGACAGAGTGCATAGGAGTTTTTCATTGTGATTTTCTGCATAAGTGCTTTCCTTTAAGCAAAGAACAGAACTTTGGAGATTTTACCCCATTAGTTTAAATGCAATAAACACATCAATACTATAGACTATGAAAAAAGGATCAAACAAGTTCATGATTTAATAAGCTAAGCTAAAAGGTGTGCAGGTTATTACCCACGTGTTGCTATTCTTAAATTATTTCATTAACCTTCACAGTGTGTAATATCGAAGATTAGTTATAGAATTAGAGAAGGAAGGGTTCCACCCAGGAGAATCTTCTGTGGAAAATGTTAAGACTGTAAATTTGTGTTGTAAAATGTGGAAGCAAAGGCCAAAGTAAATGGCCTATTTTAGCATTTGATTTGTCTCTGTTAGGTTGAACATTTAATAGATACATAAACTGGTAACATAATTTAGGAAGTAAAATGTGTTTTAATTATTTTGGGGGCATAAAGTAATGAATCCTGATTCATATTCTCTAAAGGAAAACCTTGTCATCACCTGATGTACAGTCATTCATTACATTTCACCAAGTGACAAAATGATACATAGACAATTATCACCCTACTCCTTCTTTTAAAAGTTAACATTTTAACATGTTTGACTTAGAATTTTAAAAAATTAAAGAAAGCACTTCGTAGAACAGAGAGTCATCCTTGACTCATCTATATCTCACACCTCATATCTAGTCTAACAGTGAATCCTGTCAACATTTTCAGAATCTTCTGTGTGTTATTGTGACCCTGGCCCAAGTCACCATTCAGCCTGCCTGGTTACAGCAGTGGCTCCTCTTTCCTTCAATTGATTCTAACTGGAGTCAGATAGATCTTGGCAAAATAGAAATTGCACACATCTCCTCTCCCCAGACTGTCCAGTGTCTTCCACCTTACTCAGTGTCTCAGTTAGGACTGTGACAGCAGCTAACAGTGCCCAGTGGTCCTGACCTCCACTGCTTTGTCTGCCCCGTTCTCCTGAAAGTCTCCCCTTAGTCTGATGCTTTCACACCAGCTCTCCATAAGACTTGGCACTAACCATTCCGCAACTCTGGTTGGACTTGCTCCTTCTCCTTTATTTTTGACTCAGCTGTTACACCTTCTTGA